GCGGTGTGGTATTAAGTGCAAAATACTTGTACGCGCCGTCTGCTTCACAGTGGACGTTGAAGACCCCCTGATGCCATTATCAAGAGTAGACAATCGTGTGCCAGCGTCACGGTCAACATCTGCCAAATTTGAAGCAAAATAACCAACTTGAATATTTAAAAAAATGGCAATCATTGCTGTCCGACTGCGAAAACTTGGCAGAACCCTTCCTGGAAAAGACGAATGAGACTCCCGGGTAAAGAAGTGGACTAATGAATAAATAAATATCGAGCACAGCGCACGACCGCGGGCTCCTCTCGGAGTGAGCAGGCGCAGTGGTGGGAAACACCCGCGGAGGAGGAGCGGTCGCCTCGTGCCCAATGTTCGACTCGAACTGCAGAAATGTCAGAATCAGAATTAGCATTGACACTGGAGGAATCCGATGCGCTATCAAGCTCTCTTTCACAACGTTACGACAACAAACAATACGAAAACAACATAGGGGTGGAAAATATAGGAAAGGGAAACAAATCACTTAAAATATACAAATACAACGAAACGCTTTTTTGATTGCCAGGTAAAGCCCACTGAGCTATGAACGTATTTTGTCAGAAGCGACGTGGCCACAATGATAGCTCAACAAAGTGGCTTATCACGTAGCAACGAATATCAGCAATATCAATCTAAATAATGTAAATGCACCTCCCGTCACGCACCACGTGGCAGCTACGCGTCTCCATCAGAATCCCGATCCCCTGGCGCCTCCGCGTTGCCGGGACGTCACGAACGTGCCCTGAACGTGCCCTGAACGTGCCCTGAACACGGCTGGAAACCTCGAGGCCGCCCCTCTGGTGACATCCCCGTGACGTCACCACGGGGGGGGGGGGGGGCAGCACCATGGCTGCTCCCGCCTGACCCCAGTAATGAGGCAGCCGTGAGCGCCCCGCGTGACCTCCACTGCGCCTGCTGTCCGCTCTGTTGAGAGAGCCCTCGGCTCAAGAGCGGCAATTCCACATTGCCGTGGCGAGGGCCGGTGGATTCGAAGCGGTGTTCTGTTTTTCAGCGAGCACCCAGAGATTATTGTATTTATGATGGACTGAGTCAGTCAAACCACAGCTGTGGTATGAATTCTGGATTTTCCCGATTGCGAGATGGTCGCGTGATTCGTTGCGCTCGGAATTTCCTTGACGTGCTCGAGATGTACTTCGTCTGAATGTCGGTCAGTGGTCAATCAGAGGCGCGTCTCCGCCGTGTTGAGTTGTGAACTGTCGGTGCGCAGACGTTCGGATAATAATTCCGTGTCCCTGACGTGGATTCACGATGTTGACACGGCCTGCGAGGCATTTTGGGTCTGCACTTTAAAAAAAACAGAAACTGGAGGCAAGTGGAGAGTGAAGCGAGGTTTGACAACGTCAGAGCAGAGATAGTACTTAACATTTTTCCAGAGTCATCTGAAAATGCCGGAGATGTTGAGCACTTACGGAACGTAATGATTTTCTAGGCCTGTGACGCCGCTTGGCTCGCAGTGAAGGCATGCCCCCAATAGCCGCTCAGTGGCTATTTTGCCACGTTGCATTTGTTTTCTCTTTGAGCCTCATTTTGATGACTTTTTTAGTTTTCGTAGAAGGGAAGTAATAAAATAATACAAACAATTTCAGTGAGAATTATTTTAGTATGTTTTATTTTTATTATTGTATTACTTCCCTTCTACGTGACTTTGCCGAAAGAACCAAGAAGATGAATCCCTGCAGTCGCGAAAGCTTAAATCGAATTTTTTTAATTTTGTTCTTATCCCTCTTAAGCAAAACAAACAATTGTGAAAATCAGCAAAACAGTGCAGACGTGCGTGGGAGTTGTGAACACTTTGAACATTTGAAGGAACCAAAATTGACGGCATAAAAAAAAATCAATGCGAGAGATGACAAATCCTTAGGAAAAGCAAACGAGCATGTGCGGCGGGAGGTCGGGCGACGCTCGCCAATTGAGAAGGCGACGAAGAGGCCGCCCCGAGAGCTACAGAGGGACGAGAGAAGCTGGCGTCGTGCCAGGTGGGGAGCGAGGTGGGTCGCTTCCGCACGACGCGGGGAGCCGTTCAACTCAGCAGTGGATCGAGCGAGGCCGATGGGGATGACCACGGGGCGCTGGCGGGCCGGTGACGCGGCAGCTGCGGGTGCAACGTGCCTCTGGAGCGATGCGAAGTGATTTCCGCCGTGAATCGCAGCTGTCCTTGGAATAGCTATTGATGGGATCGATAGAAATAATTCCGTGATATTGATAACGGGGAACGTAACCCGCGTCGAGGCATCGCATTGTCGTGGGGTTGATGCGTTTGTTAGCGGCAGGCCGCTCGTTCAGTGGCGCTCGGAGCGCTCTCCCTGCAGAGCGCCGCTCTCTTGCCGCGTCCCACGATAATCCACTCTTGCTCAAGTGAACGCTTTTTGCGAGCGCGAGGAAGAGGCGTCTTTGATGTAATATTCCCGCGGTATAAGGGGTCGCGTTTCACAACAGCTTAATAAATAAACGGGTTTGTGGCTAAACACGTCAGCCCTGCTATTAATACCCTGTGTAATAATACAAGGGGTGGCTGTTATTGTCTGCTGTTTGTTTAAACATAGGTATGCATGCGTCGCCGCGGTCACTATTGTTGTGCGGCCCTGTGCAGCAGCAGCAGCACTCCACCCCGACTCCCGCCACTGTCTCACATCCACAGTAATCATCGCTCAGGGGCTTTTGATTTGACGTTTGCGACATTTTCGCTCCTGCTTCATTTTCAGTCTGGTTTAGATTGCACTCATCCCACTGTTTTAAATGTAATGGATCTCATAAATACCATCACTGTGTTTAGAACAATAATTTAACCTAAATAATGTACAAATCTTGTCAGTCCGCTGCTGGATGAAGGTATCGCCAGATGTCGGTGGTGAGGGAATCTCACCGCACTTCACCAAGCTGCTCCGTATGGGTTGGGGAAGAGGCTGGAGGCCAGGAACCAGTTCAGATATCACCACCGATATCACAAACGACCGGGAATTGAAATCGTGTTACCTGGTTCATCGTGCAACGTGCTAACCACTGTGCCACTGCTCCCTCTGGTTAAAGTGAACGTCTCTGAAAATATATCTTGGAAGTGTGCCGGTCCCTGTGTTATGAATTAAGCATCAAAGATGACGATGAAGATGTTTTAAGGCATTTTTCCATAAAAATGAGGCTCAATGCACCAAACTTGTGCCAGATTTTCTGCAAAATATTCACATTGTGGCACCACACAATAATGAAGTCGCACTCCGTGGTTTGTTTCCCTTATTTCTACTCTGTAAGTGAAGTCCTGTTATGACGCAATGCCGTTCTTATCGCAGGACAGGAGAGAGGCGTATGTTTCATTCATTGTTGTTGTGTGCTAATAATTGTTGAAATTGTTTCCATGATTCAGCAGTAGAGTTGGTCCCCCGTCTGGGCTTAATAACCACAATAACAACAATAACAAAACATCTCACCACATTCCATCTGACATCTACCCGACTATCAAGAAACGAATGCTGGGTTAACATTGCGGACAGGCGCCCCCCTTGCCCTAACACGAGGTGTGTCGACTTGTGCCCCCCCCCCCCGTCCCAGCAGGGAGCGCACCAGGGGCTGCGCTTCACGCTGGAGCCCCCTCGCAGCGTCGTGCTGCCACGCGCGGCGCCTCGCTCACGCTGAACTGCGCGCGCGGGACGGCAACGGCGGCGCCGCCGCGACGTCCCCGGAGCTGAGCTGGAGGAAGGACGGCCGAGCGCTGGGCGAGGACGGGGGAGCGGCACGGGCGGCGCCCAACGGCACGCTGCACGTGGCGCGTGCCGGGCGAGCACGAGGGCGACTACGCCTGCGTGGCGCGCGGGGCCCGCGGCGCCGTCGTCGTGGGGGCGGCAACGCGCGTGCGCGTCGCAGGTGGGTTGGCGCGACGCGCCCCGGAACGTCGATCGTGCTGCCACGCGGGGGGGGGGGGGGGGGGCGCGAGGTGGCCGGTTTTAGCACGGTTGGCTACGTACGGCGCGAAAGAAGTTCAACGCATCGTACATACTGTACATGCCTACATACCAGGTGGCTCCGGGGTCAGAGCGCTGAGCCGAGGTCGCCGAGATCCTGGGTTCGAGTCCAGGCTTCGGCCGCCTGTGATTGAACCGGGTGTCGCGAGCGGACGGTCTCAGCCCGGTCACAAATGATTGGACGAAAAGAAATGCCTCCAAACGTTACATTTCGGGCTTCTGCACTTAATTTCGCTAAATTCTGGCTTTTGAATTAAATGTAGCTGAGGGGGGTGGCAGAGGTCAGGGGGGGAGATGCGCTGCCCCCTGTTGTGTGGACCACTCGACGGGATCTCAGAAGTGGTTCTGTGATATCTGCTTCCGTGGGCCATTCTAACACCAAGGGTTGCACTGCTCTGCGAGAGGCACAAATGGATTCTTTGTCTCGTGCCGTGACACCGATGGTGCCATTGGGACAAAAGGACAAACATAATCT